TGGATGAAGAGTGTTTGCATTAGTAAACTAAGCTGAAATTTAGGGAATGACTTCTGCCTAGAATCAGAGGTGGAGAACCTGTGGCCTGAAGGCCACATGTGGCCCTCTAGGTCCTCAAGTGCAGCCTTTTGACTGAATTCAAACTTCATAGAACTAATCTTATTAATTCAATAAAACTTGGACTTGGTCAAAAGGCTTCACCTGAGGACCTAGAAGGCCACATGTGGCCTCAAGGCCACAGGCTCCCTACCCCTGGATACACCTATGAACTTTTTCATGGATTTGTTTTTTTGTTTTTTTTAAGATAACATCCCACAGCAGTGTTTGTGGTGAGGTCTAATGTGGACTGGTGTTTGCACAGCAAGGCAAAGCTTTTGCTTGGTCTGTCTAAACTTCATTAAAGATCATTTATGTTGCAGCTAATCTTTGAAACTGTATAAAATGTGAAGCCAATGTTTATTTTTCCATAGTTTGGAATAATACTTTGTTTATTTTAAATAGTTCCTTCCAATGGATGGATGTTTCACACGCAAAATAATGATCTATTATGATGAACAGGGGTCGGTCATGCAGGGGATGGGTTTGAATCACTGATTTGCACCCCTTGATCATTGCACTGGAGTCAGTTAGCCATTTAAGAGGAAACAACAAAGGGAAGCATTTAAATTAAAGCCCATGTGGTCAGTCCTTGAGTCCAGAGCTTCTCCTGACAGAATTCCATAGTTTTTTGAAAACAGATCAAATCACTTAATTTTAATTTAATTTCTTAAGGAAGACCCATGGCAGGTTATCACTGGCTCCATGGTGTTGACAGTCCCAAGCCTTCAGACCTTCAAAAAGGTCATGAGGTTCCTGATTTTAGTGTCTCCTTCTTGGTGAAGGAGGCTGGAAAGATTACATCTATTTCTATGGACTTCAGAACACTATCAAACATCTGGAGGCCTGTACCTCAGTTATGCTATTCAAAGTAGACAAATAGAACCATATGTTTAAATGTGATTTTCACTTGAGTATCAGAAACATCTGTTCTGCACCACATACCCTGTCTTTCTTTCTTATAAAGCAAAAAAAAATCACAGTTTCAGATCATTTAGAAATCCTGTTCTTTTCCCCACAGCCTTTCTTGTATGATACCCTGAGTATTTCAGTAAGCAATGAACATAAAAATTAAAATGAACAATTTATTAAACTAATATTCTTTCCTGTTGTAGTAAGTTTGGACTGTTGGGAACCAATCAGGAATCTTCATTTTGGTAACATTAAAAAGCATATGGGGAGTAGGGTGGAGCTTTGGGGAGATGAAAGGGCAGACCTATGATTTCATCAATGTAAGAAACCCCTGGGATGGAAATTCTGGGATCTTTTACCAGTGTAAAAAAGTATTTTAAACCACAAGGAGGGGATCTTTTGTCATAGAAAAATTAAAATCTGGCTTTTGATGTCAGTAAGTAATTTTAATGGGAAATATAAACTACTCATCAGAAAGTTGGATACTGCCACGTCCTCAAGAAAATGTCTTACAGAGCATTTGGAAAGGAATGACATAGTTTCCCCCCCAAGGCCTAATAAAATATGCTGAATAAAGATCCAGAATGATCTTCCTGGGGAGAAAAGCAATTGTCAATCTGAGCCCTTTAAGAGCTTGGGCAGGGACCTCATTCTTACTTTATTCTAAATGTATTGACAACCTAAGTGCCATCTGTTTCGTATGGAACCCAGGTGTCACCTCTTTTATAGTGAAGTGTCCACATCCCTCAGCCTGAATGGGGACACTCCTGAGGGTAGAATGTGGGAAGACTACTGCAGGATCCTAGTATCCCTTTGGGTTCCATTTCTGTATTCTTCCCGGTTTTGCTTTTATGTATAACCTGGTTTTCTGTCTTCTAACACCTAACTTATAAGCAGCTTTCTTTCAGGCCTATCAGACTCAGAATGCATTTTCTCACAGAAACAATGTTGTAAATGATGATTAGGCTCTTGGGTTAGCTAACTGAAATAGTTGTTTTGTTTTTTTTTTCCTATAATGCAATTGAAATACTATATGGTTATAATTTTTTTGAAACAGAAGAAAATAATAACATGGAGCTACCATTTTTCTTTAAATATCAGAAAACAAATTTGCAGAAGAAGAAAAGCTATGAGAGATTACCAACAAGTTGGACAATAGTTAAGATTTTTTAAAATGTTGAAAAGCAAAAGCATTGGGCTTAAATTATTATAGTTATCCTTTCTACATTGTGACTTTCCCTATGGTGATTTTGATATATTGTAGAGCGACATAAAATATTAAATGGGAATTTTGGGGGAGTTTTGTGGAAGCCACAGATAGTACGTGAAGGCTATCAGACAACACAGAAAAAGTTTAGAAACTCAGAAATGCATAAAATATATGTATAGTATTGTATAATATCAACCCCAAATTTTGCAACAAGGTACTGTAAACACCTCATAAAAGAAAAAGGAAAAATTAAGTCTTCTCTCATATGAAGGGAAGGCTAAAAATTTTTATGCAAATTTTCCAGATTGTAGGATCTCTGCAACGCTAACCCCCGAGATATGGAAGGGATAACTGTAATATAAAATTTTTACATCTGAGTTTAAAGACTCAAACTTACAGATAAAATATGGGATAAAAGTTGTTGAACAGCAATTCAACTGAAAAAATATATTTGGTGGTTTTTACCAGACTAGCAAGGTCAATATGAGGCAACAGCCTGATATGGCACCAAAGAACAGCTAATTTAATGTGAGGCTGCATCAAGGGAGACATAAGCACAGTGGATAGAGGGCTGAGCATTGATTCGGGTAAAACTGAGTTCAAAGCCTGCCTCAGGCACTTCCTAGCTTTGTAACCCTGGGGAAGTCACTGCACTTCTTTTAGGCTCAGTTTTCTCACCTGTAAAATGAGGATAATAATAACACCTATTTCACAAGGTTATTTGTGAGGATCAAATGAAATAACATATGTAAAATATTTTGCAAACCTTAAAGCAATATATATGAATATTAGTATTACAATTAACATGTATGTTAATTATAACAATAATCATCATTATTGCTATTGTTATTATTTTATTACATAGTGTCTATGGCTAGGAATGTGATAGTCTCTCTGTATTCTGCTCTGGTCAGAGCACATTTGGAATATTACATTCTGTTCTGGCACTACAGTTTAAGAAACCATTCAGTATGGACACCAATATGGTGAAGTGCCTTGATTCCGTGTCATATGAGGATTAGTTCAATGAACTCTGGGGACATCAGCCTCGGAGAAGAGAAAACTTGTGGGAATCATGGAAGCTGCCTTCTAATATTTGGAGGATTGTTCCATGGAAAGGGGATTATAATTGATCTACTTTGTCTCAGAAGGCCCGACTAGGAATAATGGCTGGAAGTGGCAAAGAGGAAGATTTTGCTTCTATAAAAGGGAAAAATTCAAACCAATTAGAGCTGTCTAAAAATGGAATGGGCTGTTATGAGGTGATGAGTTCTCCCTCATTAGAAATCTTCAAGTATAGGTTGGATGACCATTATCAGACTTGTTGTAGAGGGAAGTCTTGGTCATTTACCTCTGAAGAGACTTCCAACCCTGAGATTTGTGATTTCATATTTAACCATATCAAAACAGTTTTTAAACAGATCTACTGCCTGACACCCTCAGCTTGACTATCTGGCCTCATCCCTGGCCCATGTAGTTAAAGAGAGTTAAAAGGAGTTCATTTTGGATTATACCTGTTGACTCCTCTCCCAGAGAAGCCATTGGGTCCCTGGAGAAGGGAGGCTGCTGTGTTGGGGAATCTCTGGCCCCTAAAAGCAAAGAGTATCATAGGTGGATAAAGTGGCTGAGGGGTTCTCAGCCAGAGGAGGGGTCCTTGCATCAATATACAAAGCTCTGAGTGAAAGGGAATGGAATTAATTTTCAGAGGACTGAAGCAGATGATGGGACTAGAAAAAATGCTATGCCAGTGAGAAAGAGGGAAGGGGAATAAATTAATGGGAAGGAAGAGAGATAAAAAAAAAAGGTAGCAATAGTAATAGGGTTTGGGAGGCAAAGGTCTGAGGAGGGTGTAAAGGAGAAAAAGAGCAGATCAGAAGGAAAAGGAATGTCTTCAGTCAGAGATGAATACATGGCAGGAACCACCATTTTATTTAAAGTTCCAGAATCATTAATTGGAAAACTGCCTCAAAATGTATTTATAAACTTGGCATAGCTCAGGGGCCACTCCATAATTTATGTTGAGGGGCCCCATAGCAATATAGTTCAAAGAACACTGAGCAAGAAATAGAAGACTTTGGTTCTAGCTTCACTTATTTTTTTAATATTTCAAAAAAAAATTCAAGGGCAATCAGGGTGAAGTGATTTGACCAGGGTCACACAGCTACTAAGTGTCTGAGGCTAGATTTGAACTCAAGTCCTCCTGACTCCAGGGCCAGTCTAGTCTCATTTGTACCTTTAAGTAAACATGTAACTTTGGGTGAATAACTTTCTTTCCCTGAGTTTCAGCTACCTCATCTATGGGTGGGCTGGAGATGCTTTCTAGGGTCCTTTGTAGTCCTAAAGTTCCAAGATTTTAAGGTTCAATGAATGTCTCTCTAGTGAAAGGATTGTTGAGAATTCCAGCCAGCGTACTTAATTTATAGGTTTAGGATTATCTTCACAGTCTGAATAGGGAGAGAGAGAAATCCTAGTATTAAGAGGATCGTAGATTTAGAGTTGAAGAGGACCTTAGGGTTCATCAAGTCTAACTTGCACATTTTAAAGATGAGGAAACTGAGGCCTCAATGAATGAATGAATTTCCCAAGGTCTGGTATTACATTAATGTTAATGTTGTGCCTTTTACTGTTTGACCCATTAGCACAGTACTTAGACCCCAGAGACTTCCTGGGAGATATCTCCTTCTGAAAACCTGATATAAATAAATAAAACCTGATAAAAACAATATCATTGTAACTACAGTTGCCTCCTTGTTAAATAACATTCTTATTATTTGTTTTCTAGGAAAAAGTGCTGCAAGGGTTATAAGTTTGTCCTTGGACAGTGCATCCCAGAAGGTATGTAATTTCAAGCAAAGCTCAGAGCCATTAAATTGAGTCACCACAAATCATTGAAATATGTACAACATGCGTATATGTGTTACTGAATGGACAGTGCCTCAGTCAAACTGAGACCTGTTGAAGAACTTAGCTTGAAAAGGCCAAGGTCCCCCACTGCATCTTGGGCCATATCCAGTTGTCCTGATCAATATCTTGCCACTGGACCCAGATGGCTCCAGAAGAGAAAGTGAGGCTGGTGACTTTGCACAGTCCTGCCTCACTTAAATCCAATTCACCTGCATGTTATGGTATCACTTCCCTGATGTAATGGTCCTCTTCCAGAATGAAGGACAAACAATAACAACAGTAGAGAGCAAGATCATTTTGTTTTGTTTTTATTAAACACAATATTCCACTCTGTATTTGGTCTTATATAGCCATTTGTGATGTTCATACCTCTCACAGTTTGTTGTAAGGACTTAAAATTTTTTCTTATCTTTGTACTCCTTCTATTTTTATCCTTGAATGCCCTGAGAATGACTTTGCTTAGTTGAATCTCTTACAATGGTTTCTTTATACTTGTTTTACCACCATGCTGCTACTCTCTGCTTTATGACATGATCCTTTCAAAATTATCTGTCATCCCTCTCCTGAAATATTTTACAAATGAGTTTATACTCTAACTCAGTGTTGCCTTTGGCAGTCATATCTCTCTCTCTCTCTCTCTCTCTCTCTCTCTCTCTCTCTCTCTCTCTCTCTCTCTCTCTCTCTCACAGTCTATTTGGCAAGTAAGTCAAATAATAAAAATCAGGTGAGGCATAAAATGGGGAAATATGTGCTCACCAAAAATATTCCCCACTCCGATGAAAGATATCTAGTGCAGAATCCAGGTCAAAGAAGTATTACTTGCCAATAAAGAGGTTCTGGAGATGCTGTTTGTGGATGGCAGAGTGCTGATTGCTTCAAACCCTTGAACATTTTGGAACTTCCTAAAAGAGATCTCTAATCATAGGAATTTTGCCTGTTCATCCTCACTGTAAAGACCAAGTGGATGAAGAATGTCTGTTGCCCAGATTTCAGTGTACATTTTTATGGACATCCAATGGAGCTTTTCCATCAGTGTGTAAATCTCAGACAGTACAAATGGGCAACAAATTTGGTCCAGTGTCGGACAAAAAGAGAGCAGGCTATATCTCCTTTGGAAAACTTCAGGGCTCCTTTACAGAATCCAAGCTTCTTATGAAAGCACAGGGCAGACTTTTTAAGCATTAATATTCTGTGTGCCAGTGTAATACAGAATACAACTGCCTTTGAATAAAGGAGAATGGAAAGGTGTATGGTAGGTCTGAGCAGGTTGCAACATATAACCAATGGGGGACTCTGAAGACCAAGAGTAAAAGATGTTCATCAAGGAACTGCATGATTAAAAAAATATTTTAGGTTGGTCTTGAGGATGACAAGAGAACAATCAGCATCCTCCCTGTGTCAAGACAAAACAAAGAAGTACTTAGTGCAATGGGCTGTGCACCTGTGGCGAACTTATCAGAGAACATGTTCACAAGTCACACAAGATGGACAAACATAGGTCTTCAATCTGCATCACTGGAAGAAAGATCTAAACTGAAAAGATCGAAGATCCATTAGCATTTGAGTATGGTGGATTGACAGATTACCATCTAAAAAGCTCATACCAATAAATAGTCCCATTTGCAACATGGTTGATTGTTTCTTTAGAGCCTCATAATGCTGAATTTTGTCATTTTAGGTTTCTGTTGTTTTGTTTAATCACCAATTTTTATTCCAATGTTTTATTACCATGCAAGATTCAACTTCCTCTCTGGACTGCTCTACCTCCTCTGAAGCAAACTTGACCACAGGGAAATGTCTCCACTGGAGATGTGTGGGAATTCTTTCCTGATGATTGAGTCCCTGGACAAAAATGCCATTTTCACTGGGGACCCCAGCTACGTGACTTTCATTCTCAGCTCAACCCATCTCCAGACATCTCCACGTCCTTCAACAGCAATGTCGGCTGTGGATGGGTATTCTCTTTCTTCCTCACCACTTTCCCATTTCCCTTTATGTTTTATCCTATAAGTTCCTTGAGAGCGGCAAAAGTCTTATTTTCTTGTATTTGTATCTCCAGCCTTAATATAGTGCCTGGAACATAGTAAACACTTAATAAATGCTTTGTCAATATAACAATTTGATATGTAGACAATGTTATCAACATTTTGGTTTTCATGTTTCATTTCATAGAGTTAGAACAAGTTTTCTTTTTAAAATTTGTTGACTTTATTTGAGAGGATGCATTTTGGTTTAATGTAATAAATATTTTTTTACCAAAACCCAGACAACCTCATCAACACAAAGTGCATGCCTCAAAAACAGTTAAACAAAACCACCTAAGAGTATGAATGCAATTATTAGTATATTAGTTTTTGCCTTTATGATTTACCAATCAGCATAAATGAAAACGGACATTCTGACTCTTTAAGTGTGGCACCAACATTGTTATATTTGACTCGAGTTTTGTTGTCTTCTATCATCGTCTTTCTATCATTATAGAAATTGTATATATTGTTCTCTTGGTTCTGCTTTCTTCACTCTATCTCTTGATACAAATTATCCCATGTTTCTCTGATCTCTTTTAGGCAGCTTTCTAATGATTTTTAACAACTGGTATATCTTCTTTGGCAAAGTGCATGCTCATGAATATTTGTCCATTGGAGGATAAATAGTTCTTTTATATACTTATAGAAGGCCCTTATAGAAGGGTGCCATATTTTTATCAGATTCGCAACAAAGATTTTTCCCTAGGATGTTTTTTGATTTTTATTTTTCATATGCTGCTTTTTATTGTGAATATTCTTATTCCTAATTAGATCAATAAATTTTGGCTCCAATAATCTCTCCCATTATTTGATAAATGGAAATTTTTCTCTCTTGCATAACTGGAACAAATACTTTTTTTTGATCTTCTAATTTTGTGTTTTTTCAAATATTTACATCATTAATCCGATTGGAATTTATTGTGGTATAGAGTGTGAGGTATAGATTGCTATTAATCTTTCACTATATAACAATTTCCCTAATATTTATTGAATAATGTTTTTCTTCTCTAATAATTTATTCAAGTCTATTAAACAATAATCTTTTGAATATATTGGATCTATCTTACTGCAGCAAGGCAATCTTCCATTCTTCTTTAATTGTTTATCAATCCCAGTGATCACAACTGCTATTACAAACTTTCCTGTCTGTTATTAAGCTTCCCACAACCTCAAGGCTCAATATCTAACCTCATACCTTACAGAAAAAAAATTGAATTGTTTTGATTAGAAATACCTCTTCTATTCTCCACCTCATCTCACATCCTTCTGACATCATGTCCCACTATCTCCACCTTCACCTCAGTCTCTGATGAAGAGATTGCACTTCTCCTTGCCAAAGCTTACCCCTCTACATACATCTTTGATGTTACCTTTCAATTTTCTTTAGCAAACTGCCCCCATTATCATACCCAATCTTTCTCTTTCTTCCTCTCTCTCTCCCTCCCCCCCTCCCACTCTCTCCCTCCCTCCCTCCCCACTCCCCCCTCTATCCTTCAATCTCTTCCTATCTACTGGTACCTTCCCGATGCTACAAACACACTCATGTCTCTACTATGTCTAAAAATCCTTCATTTGATTCTACCATCCTCACTAGCTATCACTCCATATCTCTGCTCACCTTCTCAGCTAAACCCCTTGAAAAATCCATCTATACTTGATGCTTCCACTTATTCAAACTGACACTTACCCTCCTGCCTCCAGCTGCCAACTGAGTATGGCACTGCCTGAGCCTCTGACCTACTGGTGATGTCAAAATAAAGGACAAAGCAGGTGAAACCAAGCTTCAGACTGATCTTTACTTTTTTTAAATTTTTTATTTTTTTTACTTTTTAGGCATTTGGGGTTAAGTGACTTGCCCAGGGTCACACAGCTAGTAAGTGTCAAGTGTTTGGTCTGAGGCTAGATTTGAACTCAGGTCCTCCTGACTTCAGGGCCGTTGCTCTATTCACTGCGCTACCTAGCTGCCCCAAGACTGATCTTTATAAGCAGCGTCAAAGGTTTGCAGATTCCCAAAGTTATATGAATTAAAGCGATGGAGGTAGTAGGGTAGAGAAAAGCAGACCCAAAACTGAAAAATAAAAAATAAATAAAAGTCCTGTGCTTGGGATTCATTGCCCACCTAACAGGACCTAGTTCTCCCAAATGTGGAAGGAACCACAGACTAACTCTGCAGGGAATGTCCCTTAAAGAGTCTAGCAAGCCTGAAAGAGGCAAAGCCAAGTCACTCACAGTTCCCCTGGGTGTCTCCCAGGGCTTTGTCTTGGACCTTCTCTTTTTCTTCTACACTGTCTCATGTAGTGATCTCATCATCTTCCATGGATTCAATGATCATATCAAAGCAGATGATTCCCAGATGTGTTTATCCATTCCTAGTTGTTCTCCTGAGTTCCCATCTTACATCTCCAACTATATATTAGGCACTTCAAAATGGATGTCATATAGGCATCTCAAATCCCATGTTTAAAACAAAACTCTTTATCTTTTCTCCCCAAATTCTCCCCTATTCTGAATTACCTTATACTGGTGAGGATGCCACATCCTCCCAGTCATCCATTTTGCAGCCTCAGTAGCATTCTCCACTCCTCGCTCTCACTCACCACCCTCCCCCATAACCAATCATTTGTCATATCTTATATTTTCTTTCATAACATCTCTAGGATATTCCTCTGTCTTTCCACATATACAGATACCAAACTAACAGTGCAAGCCCTTATCACCTTTCACCTGGACTAACGCTATAGCCTTCTAATTGGTCTCTCTGCCTCAGGTCTTTCTATATTCCCATCTTCTTTCATGCCAAAGAAATCTTCATAAAGTATAGACCAATTCAAGTTACTGCTACCTCTTCTTTCACACAAAATTCCAGTGGTTCACTATTACCTGAAGGATTTGTTTTGTTTTGGC